TATATACAGAGTTCCTAATTGTTATTTAATGTGAATGTATCTATGGAAATAGAGAATTAAGTCCCTACTTATTGATATGTTTTCAACTTTTTTTGTTTTTCTTAAATGTTGCTTGTTTTGTGCTTTGTCAGAATCCAAGTTTTAATGAAGTTTGTAGTTTTACTAAAATCTACAAGAGTTGCTTTTAAAAGGCTACATTTAATATTGGTTACTTACAAGAAATAAACTTGTTACCAAAGTTGATGTAAAGTACAAATTACAGAAAGACAATCCATGCAAACTATTAACGAAACAGATTTAATGAAGTGGTAAATGAGCGATAGTGCAATTGGGGTTGAGGATATGAAGTATTATAATAATTGCGTTTGGCTGTGGAGGAGATCCTTATTGCTATATCATTTTCAGATTAAGTGTGAAACTCATACTATACCTGGTGTGTAAGATTTTACTTCTTGAATACATAGAAAGAATACCATGTATTGTGGTCTCCACGTCATATTTCTCTGGAAAAAAGACATATTTCCGGTATAACCACTATATAGTGATGTTTGTTGTTTATCATAACATATATAGAGTGCCTATATAATGTTGAATGTTTTGTTATGAAATGCCTCCAGATAGCATGGTCTTTGGATGTTCCTTTTTGGTCATACGTGTAAATATGTAGTATAAACAATATCTCAACATTTGTGATGTTCATTTTTTTTCTTTTTCATTTTCTTTCGTCTTTAAGATTCAAAGATGGTTCAATGTTTTGTTTTTTAAGGGCAACAGCAGTTATGACTGAGTTGGGAACACCCTGCTCTAATCAGATGCTGGAACCTGAATCTCCACAGCAGGCCAAAACACATGGTCAGTTTGGTATTACATACTGTACAGCACCAAGTCCTCTTAACAGACAGAATAGCCAATTCTAAACTGTTGTAGCAAAGATCATCAATATTCTTTTGTCTGTATTACTGTTTTGATATCAGTAATTTGCCCCTTCTGTTTTTTTTTTAATTTTCAATGGAGCTAACTTTGTAGTATAGTGGAATATATCAATTATTTCACCAAATTATTGACTTCTCATATGTATGACATGCTTGAAATGCTGTTTTACATTATCAGTGATCAACCTACAATTCATTTTCATGAGTTCTTTTCAGCTTTAGGCGCCAACAATGTAAAATTTAAGTATTTCCAGAAATTCTGAGTCCCAACACAATTCTACGAATACAGGACTCGGGACTGGCCTGTAGATTTATCACTGTGTATGTGGTGTTTTTATCATTACTATGGTATTATTACACAATGTCATTCCACTGTCCGATGGATGAGATGTAAATGTATTTATGTTTACTTGATGTAGGGTGTGTTGAACTTGATGAAGATCCAAAACCTGTCGAGACTACAGACCAGGAGGAAGACTACAATGACTCTGACATGATCGACGAAGATTTGGGATGCTCAGTTTCCAGAATAGATTTTGCACCAAAAACAAATCCTAAGAATAAAGCCATGAAAACTTTTGGAGATCAAGAAAATGTTGCAAAATTGTCAATGAAGCAAGCAGTCAAAGATTTAAAACTTGTGACTTCTCTGGAGGATTTACTTGAACTTGTGATGAAAACTGACTTTCAAAATAATGGTGATCTACACAAACACAACTGCGTCAAACGTTTACAACACCTAATGTTAATCTCTAAAAAGAGAAAGAAGCAACAAGATGTGGCCAAGTTTGTGAGGAAGGGACAGATATCTGTAAGGAAGTTTTTTTATGTTGACTACACGTGAAAACGAAGAAACCAGTATGATTCAGGATAATTTGTCTAAGAAACACCAGAAAGTTGTCAGATTAGAAGAAATGGAAACGTTGCAGGATGTTAGGAAAAATCTTTTGAATTTCAAACGGTGTCGTTCAATTTTCATTCACGGCAGATGTGTTCAAATTGATGATCAACAATGTGCAAACACAATACGGACGGCCTTGAGAAAATGTATTAATCGGTTAAAGAAGAATCCAGATTCTGCCAAACAGTCAATAAATAAAGCCCTGAAAGTGATATCTTCAGCTGTAGTTCAACTTCAAGAAGTTACTGCATGTGAAATAAAGGGAAGGAAAAAAATGAAAAAACAAAAGTTAGAAAGCACTTTGGAGACAGGTAGGGTAGATAAAAAGAAAAGAAAGTTTGAAAAAGGTGAGGCAAAGACAATGGACACTAATGCAGAAAGAAATATAGAAAAGAAGGAAAGAAAGTCAAAAAAGAGTAATACAATGACAGTGGAAGCTAACACAAAACAAAATATAGAAAAGAAGAAAAGAAAGAAGGAAATCGCTGATGGAAAGACCATTGGAGTAAATGCAGGTGGAAAAGTAGAAAAAAGGAAAGCTGATATCGCGAAAACGTTGCCAATTGAAACTGACAAAAATACATTTCGACGAACAAGGAGGGTATCTTCTATGGACAATGTGGATGTGATTCCCAGGAAAAAGAAGAAAAAGAAGTCTTAAACAAGTAAAATAAGAAATTGAAAGAAAATCAAATAATGAGTAAGAAAGCTGGAAAGTTTCTATCTCATTTGGAATAAAAAGACGATGAAAATAGTTATGTAATTATGTTGTTTTAAGATGATTATATATATGTAAGTTCTGATGTTTTATGGTATAATGCACATTTTCACTTTTAAAATTTGTTTCTGCTTCAGTTCGTAATTAGTCAAACATGATCCAGCAGATTGAAAACTACAGAAAAGGAAGTGCATTATATACATGTTACTGCCAATTTCATTGATTAATTTGGTATTTAACAGCTGTAAACACCAATAGAAAAGTAAAACTTGACAAGTTGGCATGAATATTTTCATTCAAAAATTGCCTGATCGCCATCTTGAAAATCCAGTTTAGTTTAGAAGTGAACATCTTCATTATGTTTGAAGAGGGATTTTGTTCAGGTTCATGTATAGTGGTAAGAGGTGACAATCTTCCATAGTCAAAGTAATGAAATTTGCCAGTGGTGGCCATTTTGGATATTGTTCAAACACCTAATACACCATGCAAATCTAGCATCATTACTGAACTTTCTCACTAAGTTAAAAGAATTTATATTTGATAGGTCTTCAGAGGGGGTAGTAACAAACTTCAAAACTCAAAATGAAAGTAATAACTGGAGCCAAATAAAATACATGGATAAGGTTGCAAGGACATTTATTGTGCAGCTTTGAATTTAAAATCTTCTTCCCCTACACCACCAGACAACATTTAAATAGCTTGTGCAGCCTCGAATTCAAAATTATCTGCCCCTACACCACCATTCCACATTAGAAAGGTCGATCACAAAAATATTATGGTACAAACACAGAGGGATTTTTGTGCCCATTATTGTTTGGTCTTTATTTTCTCTTTGAAAGTTGGATCTTTTCCCTTCTTTTCTCTTCTCTTCTCTGTTTTTGCTCTTAATGATAAGAAAATTTTAACAGAAATAGCAATGATAATCTTTACCTGCCAAATCCAAGATGGTCGCCTGGAAGCCATTTTGTGTTTTTGTGATCAGTCCCAAAATCCAATGGTCACAAGTAGATATCAAAGGGAACATACGTATGGAAATTTCAGAGAGATCCATTTGATAGCTATAAGAAAGGGGTATAACAATCTTTACTAAGCGAAGTCCAGGATGGCTACCTGTCTGTCGGCCATTTGATTTTTTTTCTGATCAGTCCCAAAATCAGACAGGTGCAACAAGGGACCAAGAGGAACCTGTAAGTTTGAAAATTTTAAATTCGAAAAAGATTTATGCAGTATTTCATTAGAAATAGCGATAACAAAGTTTCGAATTCAAAATCAAAGATGGCCACCTGTTGGCCATTTCCTTTTTTTCTGATCAGTACCAAAATTGACCAGGCAAACGTAGGGATCAAGGGAAACATATACACGAAATTTGAAAAAGATTTATGTTGTAGTTCTCAAGAAATAGCGATAAACATTTTAAGTAAAAACTCAATATTGTCGCCTGTCGGCTATTTTGTTTTTTCTGATTAGACGCACAATCAAATGGGCACAACAAGGGACCAAGGCAAACCTACATATGAAATTTAAGAAGGATCCATCCAGTACTTCTCAGGAATCATCAATAACAATCTTGCAAAGTCAAAATCCAAGATGGCCACCTGTCAGCTATTTTGGTTTTATTATCAGTCCCAAAATTTGATAGACGGGACTAGAGACCAAGGAGAACCTACATATGAAATCTGAGAAAGACCCATCCAGTACTTCTCAAGAAATAGCGATACAAATTGTCTAAGGATTGACCACGGACGTAGGGCGATTTGAATCAGATGGTGGGTTATTATATGTAACTAGTCTTATAAATCTCGTAAACATTATTTTGCTACTCCCTATCCAATTACTTCTGTTAGTAACCTTGTAAGGAGCTGTAGGCAAATAACGCAAAGCAATCCGGTTCACTGCTTAAGCACAGATGATAATGTACAAGATTAAATAACTTAAGCAGCAACATGTTATAAAATATAAGCAAGAATTGTTAAAAATATACTAAGATTGATAGTTAGTAAATGCACATAAATAGTACACGAAACACGATAACTGTGGGAGGGCGAAAGAAAAGATGCAGAATCAACGTCCGCAGCGGATGGCAGTCAGTACAACTAAAGAATACCCAGGGCGCAAAAAAGCAACCCCTCCATTACAGTATGACGATGAAAAACAATGAAAACGAGACGGACACTGACCAATAAAGGTAGTGTCCATCAAACTATAACCCGGACTTATGAGAACGAGCCCATAATAAAGATAAAAAACGGGCAACCAATCAACCAAAATTACCATATTAACAAACTTCTAACATCAAAATCCAACCGGCCATGAACTGCCATCTTGAATATTTAATAATACTTTGAATGTATGACCTGCGCAAACTCTGATCATTGCTTTTTTTATTTATTTTGTTTAAGGTCCAGGTCATTGTCTTGAACAAACCCGAAATATCAAGACTCTGGGATTTGGTGAACTTGAGAAGTTGTCCAACGTTCCCTTACAGAAATTTGAAAACTTGCAATTATGGAATGCCTATTATTTATTCTACCACAACATACATCACACTTTACAAACTTTCAATATTTTTGCTACTGATCTAAGATTAAGACTCCACACAAGTGGAAGAGGGACATTGATAAGAAACGTACCGATATCAAAAAGGGTATCTTTTATCAGAAGGTGGAAAAAAACCCTTATCACCATTACAAGAATAGAAAACATACCACAAAGAATGAGTTTTTATCTTAACAAGACCACATACAGTTCATGTATATTGAAATAATGGGCATGTAAAGATTAGATACATATCGAAATGATGAACATGTATAACGTAAAGATTAGATACATATCGAAATGATGGACATGTATTACGTAAAGATTATATACATATCGAAATGATGAACATGTATTACGTAAAGATTATATACATGTCGAAATGATGAACATGTATTACGTAAAGATTAGATACATATCGAAATGATGAACATGTATAACGTAAAGATTAGATACATATCGAAATGATGAACATGTATTACGTAAAGATTAGATAGATATCGAAATGATGAACATGTATTACGTAAAGATTAGATAGATATCAAAATGATGAACATGTATTACGTAAAGATTAGATACATGTCGAAATGATGAACATGTATTACGTAAAGATTAGATACATGTCGAAATGATGAACATGTATTAAGTAAAGATTAGACACCTATCAAAATGATGGATATATATTACGCAAAGATAAGACACATGTCGAAATGATGGACATATACCATGTAAAGACTAGACACATGTCAAAAATTATGAGCATGTTTTGTATAAAAACTAGACACATACTGACATGATGCACATATTTCATGTAAAGATTTGACACATGTCGAAATGATTGACATGTATTACGTAAAGACTAGACTTATACCGAAATGATGGACATGTATCATATGAAGACTAGATGACACTGACATTACATAGCAAAACTAGACAGGACGTCGTAATAATAGAAGTATGCATATCTCAATCAATTACGACAGGTTATTCAAATCTTGAACCTTCGGATCAACAACATTAGTGTGTATGATTCATTGTGTTGATTTGTTGATATTTAGGACATTGTAATACATTTAACAAAGGAAAAAAAATACTCGTGCCCTGTCCAGGCCTCGAACTTCAAATCGCCTATTACTCCAAAATATCCTTGTGGACATTGTTTATATGTCAATACCAGGCAACATATAACGTCGTCGTATATGTAGACATAGTGGGTATATGATACCTTTATTGGACAACACATTTTATCATCTTTAGATCCAAGAGTCATTGAAGAGAACTTATATTTTATTACCATATATGCATAACATGAACATTAGAAAGTATGCATATCTCGATGTGTTGTTTTGCACAAAAAGATGGAATTAAAAATGTCCTTTAATACCTCTTTTTTCAGAAAACTCCAGTTAGATTAATTATCAAACACACATTCGTATCAATATACAACACCGTAAAATAATACAAAGTAAACCATTGTTATAGAAGTGTTTTCATCGAGCGAATTGACCGTGAAATCCATCACTAAGTGTATGAACTGAAAATGGACAAACGGTGAAACTGACCGTCTCATTCAAGCACGAGACTCATGTTTACTGTTACATGAATTAATTCTATGAGGTAATTAAACAGAAATATTACAATATGCACATAAAACTGTCTACAAACTAGTTGGATAAATAAAAAGCGCGAATGCAAAAACAATAAAAAACGAATTTGGTACATATGAGGCCCTTCTTACATGTTACATGTGTATAACTCTGTTATATTTTCTTTCTGATTTCATTCTGTATACGTCATACTGGTAGAGAACACTCATATACATGTAATAGAATACTGACATAATTGCATTGAAATTCTACACAATAGATAATTAAATATATATTTATGTATGCATTTCCATAAAGTACACATCAAACATCATTTACAGAACAAAACTAATAACCTAATCATATTCCAATATATACATTAACCAACCTTGTATTTTAATTAATCCTCTCACATATATATAAAATAAGATGAACAAAGAGACCTTCATATTTTGATGCCGTGAAAAAATGTAGCCTAGTCAGATATCGGAAGGTACATAAATGTTTAACAACATTTCTTAAAGTATAAGAAACGCATTATACATATGAAATTGACTCTATTTTTATGGCGAAATCTGTTTTTAATGTGAGACAGGCATGGTATTTTACAGGTAAACTACAATTCTACGTGTACGTGTTCTTTTCTGCATCTCACAAGTATGCATCGGAATAAGAGTTTTAGTCTAAGGCTGATTATCTTTATATGCAGTATGCATGTTTTGAGCTTTTATCTCACACAAGATTATGATGACACTGGTTTGTGTCCCATTCTTTAGTAGATTACGATTCTGAGTAGCGGATTAACACGTTTTTATACTGCAGACAGAGTACAGAATTGTATTAATACCACTATCAAAATCTGTTCTCTACTAAAGAACCTGAACAAACCCAAAAATTCAAAAACTGGTTCTGGCATTCGTACAGTCGACGACAACCCTAAGAAAAATAGTGTCGTCTTTAAGGTACGTGTCCGTTTCTAGTTTAGAGTGATGAGCAAAGCACGGCACACCACATGCAACATTCATTTCTGTTGTGGGTTTTTGGAAGCTGTTACTCGTTGCATTTGGCAGGAACTGCTCGGCGACGTGTTGATTGGTTCCATTTTGGTCCAAAAGTTTCAAAGTAACTGGTAGTTGGAAAGGCCAAGGCAAAAGTGCATCAAAGTCGCCTCGCATCACAACTAGGAAGAAAGAGAGAAAGAGACCCTTTCCAGCCCCGTCACCATTCAGGTAGACGCGTCCACAAAGCTTGTATCCGTACCTACTGGTATAAAACGGCTGACTATACAGAGACAGGGTTTTCCCGGATACGGCTTCACGTTTTCGTCTGTTGTATTCTCTGATTTTCCACATCAGGACACCGTCGAAGTTAATCGTTTCTTGTAGTTGAAGTCTCAGGTCTAATTCACAGAGACGAATATCCAGCAGCCCAACCTGCTTCTCCACATTCTCTATTTCTTTAGAGTTTCCACCTGTTGAAAAAAAGTTATTAGTACAGTTATCAGTGACATTTTGTCTCCGGTACCACAAAGGATATCTAACTTTGGGTAGAAGAATCAAACTGATACCAAGAAGATAAAAGGACTTTAAAATAAAATATAAAAATAAACAACAACAAAAATCAATCAATCAATGAGAATTTTTAAAATATCTATTTTTCCTTTAAAAATTAAATTCGACACAATGAGGAGACACCTGTGTTCATGTTTGAAAATCTCACACCTGGCTGACTAGCCCAACATTCAACAATTTTGGCAATGATGTCAACGTTTCAGTTTTTGGGTGTACAAATGACAAAGATTACTCGTCAACATAATTGAACCTGGACTTAATTGTGAATAAATTGAAGCTCATATTTAATAGAATTGTACACTATATTGATTGTAAGGCACCATTTTAACTTAATTTAATGCGGAATCACATATATTCAGCAACGCATGTTAACAAATATTGGTTATGCATTTTAAAATCTACTTTAAAGTTATTAGATTGTGTCTCCGTTATAGCTGGCTGGAATATGGTATTCTGATTGATCTCCGAGTGATTACGTACCCCCAGAACGACCTGCTTGAACTCCACCTCTATGTTCTATGTTGGTCACTCTCTGGTTTGTTGCTAGGACTGTATCCTTCATCGTTATCACTTCCTTTTTTAGTTTATCAACGGTCTCTACGGACGCTTTGTCTTCAAGTAGGCGTCCCGTCTGTATAACCTTTTCTCCATTGCTTGCCAGAAATTTCTGTAAAACATTTTAATACATTTTGGTTATATTTCTTAAAATAGGTAAATGATGGATGCATTTCCGGAGTTTTACATTAATTTCAATGTAGTGAAACTCCTAACGTTCTTTAATCACATTACTTGTTGATATGTTTCATTTACAGCACAAGGTAAAAAGTTCTCTCGTTGTTATGTTTTATTTGTCCCCATCGTTGTGTTAGGATATTCTCTGATAACGTCCGTAATACAACTGTGTACACCGTTACCTTCGTTGTTTCAGGTTATTTGATGCATGTTAAGTATAGTATGACGATCGTTTGAGAACGTAGATTGACCAAATGGCGGATGTCCTTGATGATTTTATTAATTTTTACTGATTTCATTTTGGATTATGTTGACATGTTGGTATTTTCTTGTCCTTTTTGTAAGAAGTTTTATTTAGAAAATTCGCAGCAATAGTTGTTTCTTTTTCAGTTCAAAACAGCTTCCTGGAAATAAAGATTTCTTAGCTCTCACAAAAAAACCGTATGTTAAAATCACAGGTACGAGAATCAGAATAAATTACCTTCATTTCCTGAATCGATATTTTATTTGCTTGTGTCTCTTTTTGTAGCCTTTCGTTTTCCTCGATGAGTTCGGGAATTCTTGCATTTTCCCGTATGACTTTATCCATTGTTGTCTGAAATTCACAAATGATAATGTATGCCACGTTGTTTAAAAATTAATAGGGAACTCGTTAAAATACAATGCTTTATATATTTACCATAGTTTATTTATAGTTTACATCCAAATTAATAATGACGTCTACTAAGAAATTTGAAAGGTGGCTGATGCCGAGTATTGTCAGTTTTAGTAACCAGAATTACTCAAGAAAAAGTACCATTCGTAATTCAATAATGAGACAGTGATATTAGGAATATCTGTATGCCATTTCAACCTGACATTTAAGGATATCCATTTTTACAACAAGTAACAAAAACATTGCCGTTGTTGTTTTTTCTGCATGATTTTGTTCTTTTCAAATATGTTACAAATATATTTCCTATGATAAAAAAAACATATTGTCCTATTAATTAAGAAAATAACACATCAAAGCAGGACAGATGCCAAACAATCAAGCAACGGTTTTATAAAAAAAAATCCTGGTAGAGCGATATTTCTTCAACTGTAAAAATACAATAATGTATTTAATATATCAGAATAGAAACAAATCAGACCACCGGTGACCTTTCCATTAATAAAAAAACGTTTTATTGGTCAATACCTGGTGAGTTACAGGTGTATTTCAATGTATTTAATACCTTCAATTCTAAAAATAAGGATTCATGCTGTTGACTGGAACGCTTCATTGTCATGTCAAGATGTAATGAAATCATGTCCTTCTTATGGATGTCCAATTGGTCTTTGGTTCCCTACAGTGGAATTCGTGAACATTTTAAGACGTGGTGAAAGATCGTAACTGTTATGAACAATATTGACAATACACACAAATATTATTAATTTACTGTATAAGTAAAGACAAATTATCAAATCGGAATAAATTAGTATAAATGATTTCTATCCAATTGAACAAATAATTTATTTGCAGTATCAAGTATAGAATAAGTGTCTTCAATTGACAATCAATCTATCATCTTATCGTTCTTAAAGTACCATTCGTTTATTCTATTAGTGTCCTAAACTCATCATTATTTAACTGTATTAGCGTCCTCAAATTCATCATGGTGTCGTCGATGTAGCAAAAGACTCTTTCAGGACACCTGGTCATATTTTCCTTGTACATTTCAGCAGTATCCGAGTAAAGTTATTGTGTACATTTTTTTTTTCGCGTTACAGTATTAGCATTAATGCAAAATATCATTTATGCATAGCAACAAATGCATTAGAGGCTTTGCAAACAACTGTATGTGACGCAGTTTTTCCCATTATTACTGCTCATTCTAGCGATACATATATAAAAACACGTATCAAATAAGCCTTCTGCTATCAAGATTCCCAAACAAATTCAGAGAATTCAATTACAGTTAGGATCTGTATAGCATTAATGCCTTCATATATGTGTGATGATCTGGTATCATTGAGTACATGTTATGAACGCACGCAATGGAAGTCATGATTAAATATGTATAATATCCGAATAATTTCTTACCTCAAATGTACATCCATGCTTAGAAAAAGGACATACGGTCTTTTTGAGTGGACACTGGATTAAGTGATCGTTCATCTAAAGTAAAATAATTTATGTGAACATTTAAACAGGTACATGTACATTGTTTATGCCTAAACTATTTTGATGTAAATATGTGATATTTTTGTTTTGCATTTGTGATAGCATTCTCAGGAACTTGATTTCGCTTTATTCATTAAAACATCTCAAAATAAACAACCCAGTAAGCATTTTTACTACAACAAATTAAAAATGTTAAATTTCAGAAAAGGTATGCTTTCGACTTTTGTAGATTGATATCAATTTATAGAAATGCGGAAATAATTTTAATTTCTCTGAATTAGCCCAAATCAAAACAATCGCAAAATATCTGTACCTATATTTTAATCAATATTCTTTGGTTCAGTGATAATCCTATTTTATGGCTGAACGTATTGTGCTAAAATGCGATTGTACTAATTACCGTTTTTAAGGTTGTTTGCAAATCAATAGTTATGAACGTGCAAATTAATAACGCTCGATTTGCTAAAAAATTATAGACGTGTTTTAAATTTGATTGAACCAAATTAAGTATGTTAACGGTCTTTCTTATTATAAAAAATACATAACGTGCTGGCTTAAATCCGACAGTTCTAAAATCTTAAACGTTAAACGATCTTGTTTGCTACATTTACTTTATAAGTTTGTGTAATCAAATGTTTTTCTAAAATCACATATCAAGCAACGCTGAATCTCTCAATAATGCTATATTCAACATATCGGGTATCATTTTCAATCAATACAAACCTGCTCTCGTGGCATGCCCTGAACTCCGCATTCGTTTGGACAGTTTAACGGAACCTTCCGGCATACAGAGCTCTGATGATTCTGTGTATCAAATATATGTTTGTTACGCCAATGCCTAAAAGTCTCTTATTAATACATCTTTCAATTTACCACATTTCTGTCTTAGAAATTTTCAGTCGTGGTTAATAATACTTTTCGATACATGTAATCATTACGAACTTGTAAGTAGTTATATTGAATGTATATGAATGACGTATACGAACAGTTGAGTTTGACAAATGTAATGTCTGTATCTATCTAAAGACCCTCTCTTCCACAAGGAACACGGAGATTTAGAAAAGTCCAAAAACACTGGTTACTTCAGTAGTTGTTTGAAGATCCAATCCTCGTGACATTGCGCGTTCATCTAAAATTTATGATAGCCCATATCCCAGAATGCTAATTTCAAAATCTCACCAACCTTAGTAAGAACAATTTATCCCATCATACACTTGTAACCATGAAAATTGGTAATGGCCCTGATTTGAACAAATTCAGTCGTTTTAGACTTTTCTTTTTTTTTCAAATTATCCCTAAACCCTAATCAAGGTCATCCATTGATCAACTTGACAGGTATTAAACACTGTCACCTTGTTGCCAATCATTATTATACTAGAAATTTAACTTATTCATTACAAATCTTTTGAAGATTTTTACACGTTAGACATTTGTCAACCTGAAAGTAGTTTAAGCTTATTCATTCATAAGTACCTAGCAACCCATCCTCTTGGCATGCATCTCGCACAATATTTACAAGACAGTCTAGATGCCAGTACCGTAAGTATACTGGGTACCACAGTTACAAGTTCATTCAGTTGTTCAACATTCACCTTCGTTTGATCTATCTTTCCAGTTTCCTGGATTATTTCGATATAATATTTACCTCAATATCCTTCATACTGATATTTTCTAGACAGTAAAAACACTGAGTCTCTCTATATTCACAAGTCTTGGACATGTGCTCCTCCAACTCTGACAATAAAACGGCCTGGCCACATTTATCACAGTGTTTTCCTTGAAATCTACATGTGGCCATGTGTTTCTACAAATATGAAAACAAGAAGTGATTATGTTGGAATCCCACTGGTACTTGGTACGTTCAGTATGTTTTCATGAAGAATGTTGATTTTACGATCTTATTGACAGGTAAAAGCTGAAATTCTGAATTTCTCTATCGGTAATTTCAGTAAAATTGCAATCTAAAACAATACAGTGTATTATGACGTTATATAGAACATAATATACATATATCATTTTCGTTCATCATTCCTGATATCAATGATTTCCAAGTATACAACAATATATATAATTCTAATAATTCAAGCTTTTTGCCCCCCGTATCGAAAGATTGAAAGACCAGGAAGAAAATTACACCAAGTGACCCTGAATATGACATTTGACCTACTTTATGAAAAACTTAACATTGGCAACAAGTTTGCATTGTCAGAGGTATAGATTTTGTATTTGGCATGTGTGTTCCTTGTGATAAGACATTTATGGTGGTACCAAACGTTTTGACCATTTCACCTTGACCGTGACCTGTGACTTACATTTTAATGAAAAAAAATACCACATTGAAGATACAAGCATTTCAAAAATCGTGTATTCAATTAGTACAGGCTTTACATAGTGCAGTTTAAATTTTGTTGCAACTGGGGGCAAAGTGTTTCATACATGCTTCCTGTTATACTTTAGTTAGGGTACTTACGGATAAACCATTCCAGGGTAGTTTTTCTTGGCAACCTAAATCTTTGTATGAACAATAGACGGACAATTTTGATATTTCCCGTCGTTTACACGCATCTGGAAAAACCTGTCAAATAAAAATCATTAGATGTATCAAACGATATGTATAGAGTATTGTAAAAACATCAATATCTATATACATATATATATGTTTATCTATTTAATTTTACTCTTGAACCAACATTATCATCATTGTTCAATACAGTACGATTATCATGAGACAATTTAATGATATCGTTAAGTCATGTATCCGAATAAAAGTCATTTATAAAATAACTACCCTGTTATCATAGCTTACATTGTCCTGTATTCTTCATTTGTTTCATGAAGGTATGAAATTTATGATATGGAAACATAATTAAAATCCTTCATAGGATTTCATTTTCATTTTACTGATCGCCAGCATATTGAGTAACTATATTTACAAAACCAATCACTATTGATCAGTCGTTTGTAAATTACAATAGATTGAGGAGTGATCTTACAGCTAGCTATCATATCATCTTTATTTCTTTCATTTTAGTTTGACGTGTCTCTTTTCTTATTTTTTTCAATTTCTAATTTCGACAGTGATACCAACAGCAAACGATCACTAGTAGTCTACAAATTCCGATCACGCTCAAAACTGGCATTTCATACTTCGAAATGCAAAATATCATATAATATCTTTCTCAGATATACAATTCGCAAATAGGAACCCACATGGCGAATTTTTTCACATGTTCAAATTCTGAGAGACAAAGCTTTAATAGAAAGTGTTGACGGGAGTATGGTCGGCAAGTTGAATTAACATACCACTTGAATGTCAGTCAGCCAGATCTACTACCGATGAAGGGAAGGTGTGAACGTTTCAAGTACTGTAGTACTGAACAAAGTATTGATAGTATTGTATTGAAGTACTTCACCAATCGAATTCCTTAAATTTATGCAACAAGCTCTCTGATTGGCAGAGCCAAGTCTAGATCGATTGTGGGTGGAGCCAGGTGAAAAAATACTGTGCAGACATCGGCATTTTACAAACACTCGACTGTCGCGAGAGGTTAATTGGAAGAGTCCAAGTCACAGGTGGCTTCAGATCAGACCTAATTGGGTTGTCCCATTTGTTTCGTTCTACACCCAATGATACTTTGCTTTTCCATCGATGGTACAACGAGAAAACGAAAGTTACTCAGTACTAAACTAATTTACGTACAAAATATATATCAACAGGTTAGATCACTGGGACCGGAGAATTCATAACATCTTAACAGTGAATGTAGTCACATAGTCATTCTGTACTAGTTTTATTTATTTATTTATTTTTTTGAAGGGGGGGGGGGGGTGGGGGGGGGGTGGGGGGGGGAGGGTTGGCTCAAAATATTTCGGTTTAAGCCCAAGCTCTATTATATGTAACAAAGAATTACGAATTACCTGGGACCTCCTGATATATGCCGATAATTCATACTGCATTAAAAAATAAAGGAATTCTGTGGTCCCATATATTTTTTATTTTATTTTTTATCTTTCCATCGAAAATTATACATATCCGCAACATGTGAAAAAACTTTGAAGTTGGTTGGGCGGAATATCTAGAGCATTTACTACTGCAAGTTCCAGAAATTCTGACACAAGTCGGGTATATTTGCCCGAAGCCTCTGTCTCATGACATTGAATACATATTCAGTTACGTTGTATTCCGGGGAATAAGGCGGCTGAAAAACCAGGGACACGCCATATTCTTTCAGCATATTTCTTAAAATGCGCTCTCCCTGTCTATGGTGATGGAATCCACAATTATCCATCACAACCACATCGCCTTGTACAAAAACAGGATTCCCCATATCGTTCGTATCGGACATAATTTCGTCGAAGAAAATTTTGCGTACTGTTGCCGTCGTCGGACATTTTTCCAGCGATTACTTAGTACTTGTTATGTAACTGATAGTGTACATTAACTCCGCCTACCGGAACAAATTGGGTGTCAGATCAACTATTCAGGTTGTCTAAACTCCGCCCCCGACCAATCACAGAGGTCGTTGTATACTTGACTCGATTATTTGAATACTTCAATACAATAGTATCAATACTTTGTTCAATACTATAGTAAGTGTGTCGTTCACACCTTCCCTTCATCGGTAGTAAGAGTAATGTGTTGGTTTGGTGACCTATGGTTAATACATACTCTAACAACTGATCGCTTCATAAAATACTAAATCTTAAAGAAAAAACAGTTAAAATATTGAATAAATCACTTACAGAATTTTTAGAAAACTTAATTTGGCATCCTGGAATATGGCAAGTGTCTTCCTCTTTCTCTCCGAAGATGATATTGATATCGTTTTCACAAATATGATGTCCACAACACAGTTGGAACGCATTTCGTAAAACTCCGTGACAGACTGTACAAGTTTCACCCTCGCCCAGCTCTAGTACAAATTCTGGTAACACTTCAGGATTTGTGAAGTGTGTTTTGATTCTTTTGGATATTGATAATTCCCTACCGTCAGTTTCAAGCGACATTGTTGATTGTAGTTCACGGATCGATCACAGTAAGTTGGCTGGCTCTGATTTTTCTATGCTATAAATGTTCGCGTCACTTGTGATAATGACAAATTGAAGGTATGACAAATACGTATTATATTTGCTATAAAGCTTAAAAATGCTAAATTCAAAATTCAAGAATCACACATCAGATACTGGCATACAGGAGAGTATTTTAGCACAATAACAAATTCGCTAGCAATAACCTAAATAAAAAAAATTAACCATAAAAGGCGGTCATATAAGACTGATTAATACAGAATTTGTTAATAGCAGTCTAAATAAGCTTAATCTTATTCTTCCGTGCCAAAATTTATATGCATAATTGTCACACGTCTTCAGTAATGGTTTCCGTTCAAAATAACCGTAATCTGGCCAAAACCCATAGATCATCATTGGCAGAGCCGGCTTTCGCAGATTCCAGTAACATCCCTGGTCCCACTGTAAAAACAGAAAGTACAGTCTATGACCTTCTGAACATTTTAATGTAAACTCTTGAATTGACAGCAAAATAAGAATTAAGGCTGCATAAAAATATGTAATGTCATACATTTTTTGCATATCGATTTCATGAATTCAAGTATAATCGATACCACAAAAGTCCACTACAATACAAAAATAACATTTCACCAGTCTGTGGGATAGAATTAAAACAATAACTGCTACAGCAGAACACAAGAAGGACAGGAAACCAGTACCTCTAACTGCAATCAAGCTGATTACACCTATCGGATATTTTTAGTTTTGACAATCAAAGGTTATCATATGTAATATTTGATATATAATATTTTCGTAACTATATAAGTGATAATTGAATATCGCAATATCCTCTGCATATCTCTTAAAAGATTTTGTTATTAACACAGTCATAAGTAAGACCAGCAACAACCAAGAATGGTAGCCAACGAAATCTAAGAACATGCACTGTTATTTATTTATCTTATTATTTTGAACAAGGGATCGGGCACAAGTTATATGAAATCTACACAGACACAAGATTACTATATATATATAATCTAGATAAGTACAACCGTTTGGCAGCACATCAATAGAATCATCAATGTTAAACACATTTTGATAAATAAAAGAACATTTCATATACATTGTAAATTGTAATAAGTCCGAATGACTCACTAAATTAGGAATACTTCCACATATTACACAGTTTCTTTATCTTTTTTCTGAGATAGCAGCAACAATGTCTATTTTTCAACCTTGGTATGTCTAAAGTTACACCCTTTTATGGAAATTCAAATTTTCAACCAATCAGATTCTATACTACAAAACTGCATTGCGCATGTTTGCTGTCATGTTATACTTATGATTATGTCATTCTATCAAAACTACATTCTATATTTTCTTATCAGAAGATCTGAACAATTCGTTTCTCATTTAAAGAACTTCATGTGTAAACATGAAAGAAAAAGAATTACGATGTTTATTTCTTCATTATATAGATATATCAGAAAACAATTTTATCTGAACAATAATTAATATTTTACTAGAAGTGTAATAATTATTGAAACTTGAAAGATTTAAGAGTTTGATAACGTAACGGTATACTGAGAGAGAGAGAGAGAGAGAGAGAGAGAGAGAGAGAGAGAGAGAGAGAGAGAGAGAGAGAGAGAGAGAGAGAGAGAGAGAGAGAGAGAGAGAGAGAGAGAGAGAGATAGACAGACAGACAGGTAAACAGACAGACAGAGAGATAGACAGAAAGACAGACAGACAGAGAGAGACTACTTAGCTTTACCTCACAAGCTCGTACTCCGTACTTACTAGTTTACTTGTCCTACACGTATGCTCTCGACACCAGCGCGTCACACGGCACAGTGTTGTGTACGTCGCATACAAGTTCACACAACCAGGTTTTTTTTGTACCTTCTGCGCATGACTATGTGAAATGTATGGTTGAATAAGATTAAACGTAACCAGGGACTTTTGGACCTTCTGCACATTCCCACTGCTTAGCTTTTTATAATGCTTATTTCATTGTTATTAATTAGATATACTCAGTTAAAACTTTCTCTGATTGGTTGTTTCATATTTTATATGTGTGTGTACATTGTGATGCAATATCTGAAATATCAATAAATTGACACAATGCATCATATACAGTAATGCTGTTGATCCGAAGGCTCCAGATTTGAATTAACTGTCATAATTGTACACGAGTTTGATATTTACATATAAAGTCTAATTGAAAAGAACAAAATTAACTTGTATAATTGGAATTCTACCGACGAGGTGAGTACCAACATTGTGAACAAACTAGATATTAGTGAAGCGGCATTTGTGAGCTACATTTCCAATCCACCGTGTCCATTAAGCACATTTATCTAATGTCTGGATACATTATGCCATTTCTCTCATAATACTCTTACTGATATAGATTATTTGATATTGTGTTATTAAGACACAAAAGGATGGTTATTTATGAAACGGTCTCAAATATTTATTTTTAGCTTTGGAAAGTACGATCATCAGTCTAAAAATAGAAAAGGTGCTTTCTAGAAAGTACACTCGTCTAATTTTATCACACAATTTACTGTTACTGAAACTATCCGAAATGTTTTGTCATAAATGTACTTCATATTGATTCGATTTCTATGCCAAAATCTGTATTTCTTCTGCCTGAATGTGAATGGTGTATTTTTTTTTAACAAAAATGCTCTTGTAAAATTACACCGTGTTACCAATATTCATTTAATAACATCACTTCAAACGTGATTGGCATCACCAGTATGGTTTCATTTCATAAGACGATAAGAATTTCATACATATATAGGTTGACCTATCTTCCGATGCAAGGCTGAAAAAAGACATGGATTTTTAGTGAAAGTAAGATTTTTTTTCTCTCGAAATTTATTATGCTTTGACCTGGAAAATCCTATTTACCAAATATCATGCCTTTCGGACTTTCGGATTACCAAAGGAAATCTTTTTTGATTTAAACACATTTATTGCCCCAACATTGAGCAGAGGATTAGGCACAAGTTATTTGAACTTATGACCGCCTTTTCGTCTAATACCATACATGATAATATTTACATGATAACATTAACAAGGCATACATAATATATTTAACAGTTAGTACATTTTACTTAAAATCTGTTGCTGGATTTGATAAAAAATTGCACGTGTCTGAATAATTAAGTATTGGTCGTTAGGAACAGATTTCACTTGATCTATGGCATGTTTATATCTAAACCTGGTTTAATTATAATAAATATTACGATTTAAAGTATGTTGTTACTTAAGTCATAAAAAGGTAAAATATCAGTATGATACGTGTATGAAACATAGATATTAATAGGCGAATGCATATCTGTATCTTTGTATTTACAATGTATACAAAGAAACCCTGCAAAGCGGAATTTGACAATTTGATAACTATTTATAGATATTACTCGACGATTCGTGGTTTTCTATAAATATATTTGTTTATTTTTGGAATTCGCTCATCATACTATGTGATTATATAAATAGAATTCTGAAATACTAGACTGTGGTTATTTATAGACACCGTTCCCCATATGACGTGTGTTTAAAAAAAAAAAAAAAACGGTTTATCAGATTCCTATACATTTATTTAATCTGGTCCAACACAATTCCTAATTTGATGTGATGTTCGTGGTCATTTAAAAAAACCAACCATGTCTATATTTCTGAGGTATGATAGTTTAAATTTCCATAATATTCACACGATTGCAACTCCTAGTTTTTTCACTGATAGGGAACTTTACAATTTGAAACATTGGAGAATCAATATTTATTGTTCGGACAAAGAGATGTGCATACATCATGTAAATACAAAAAAAAACATGTCTTATAAACACAAACAATCGAGTGATGGGCGAGTCTGAATTCTGGAGGTGAAGAGAACTTGGAGATCCACAATTATATCATACTGAATATCACGTGTTTCTGTATCGCACCTCGAGACGGGGAATGTTACAGTCTAAATATAATAATGCCACGTAATCACCTCACACACGTGTCAGTTTTATTTAGAAACATTCATATTGATCTGAGCTGATGCTTTTAATAGAACACATATGATTAAAATTATCAGAATGTAAAAGTATGTAAGGTGTACCTTTGTAATCGAATACACTCATTGGTCACAACTGTGTTCCTTGTGTTGCTATTTATAGCCAGTGACAGCGGTCCAATGTTAGTATCCCACGACACGTATAACACGTCGTTATAAATAGAAAAACTGTATAACATGGAATTTATGTTCTATTAATACATACAACTGACGTGTCTTTATAAATAGAAAAGTGGATATATACGGTTTTTCCAACTGTTCATGTTGTATATTTTTAGATTGTGTTTATACGTGTCTTTATATATAGAAAAGTGAGCAGATTCGGTTTTTCCATTTTTTTTTACGCATTACAAGATGTCTTATATCGCACACTCCACGTGACCGGTGACTCAGACACACGTACAATCACTATACCAGTATGTATATCTTGAAAGTAAAACTTTTGAAAGAGAAATTGTTTTGTCATTGATGATCCGTTTGAATTTAACATTTTTTTTAAAAACATTATCCAAAACAAGACAAATATGAAACGGACTCACTTTGTTTTATAGATGTCTATCTGTACCCATATTGGACAGGGCAGTAACGACAAAAGGTAGAAGTACCGTCTTACACGAGTTTTCCATCTAAATATTTCGCCATCCTGCACCCGTATATAAGGACCTGCGTTCTATCCCCGGCATGTCTGCAGATTATTCGTTGTACTGGTAACGTGTCCACGACTGATTTCCACTTTATGATTTATTGATGAATTATCCAAGGCAACTGTTCCCGGTAAGTTATTTATCCGTTTTAATTAATATAAACGTCGTCGCGTCTTTTTATTGTTTTGTCGTTTTTTCTTCTTTCATGTAAATAAAACACGAATGGCAATCGTTGTGTCGGGTAATCGATACAACCTCCGACCCACCTAGGCTAAACTTACATCAGATGTAAAATGGTCAATCCACATGAATTGAATTTATAAAGCCTTACTGAATAAATTACCGTATAAAATATATTTTGTTAATTGTTAGAGCGTGATGTTTTCTATTCAAGATTTATAAAACATTCAATTTAGCTGTTCTAGAATACATGCGAAGTTTGGATAGGCT